TTAAATTAACTGCCATTTACCACCATTTTACAGACTTATTTCTCTATATATTATGTGGAGTTGAATTTTCAACATCAAAAGATATTTAGGCTTCTGAATTGCATTATGGGACCTTGATCTTCTTCCAACAACTTTTAATTTAGAAAAAATACATTTATTAAACTTTTTAGTAATTTGTTAACACATATAAATGAATACACATATCAATTTGGCAATTTATAGTAATGCGGCTTTTGTTTAAGAGAAACAAAGGCTAAGACGTTAGCTGTGTGTGTGTGTTATCTTTATTGTGTTGGGTCGTTGGACAAATAGAAAAATCTTTAATTAGAGTTATATTGGAAAAAAGTTTGGAATTTTGGTATTCCTCCCAATCTTGCACAAAAAGACAATTGAGCGGTTTTCTAACCACTTAACATTGTTGAATCAACTGTTCTTTTTGAATGTATTCAGATGGCAGACTTACAAAATCTAGCCAACCATTGACTTGCACAGGTTAATGAAAGTATAAAAAGAATCAAAAGTAAATTATTTTGCCTAAAAACCTCCCTAAGTTGCTTGATTCCTCATTGAAGTAAATCATCTTGTGAGTCAAGTCTCTTCAGAAGACTTGCATTAAAGCACCGGATCCATATGGATTTTTTATTCAATTGTTTTGTTTTTTCTCTTAATGAACTAAATGTCAGAAATATTCCATATAAATTGCAACACAAGCAAATCTAGGAATTCTACTAAATCTCCTTATCTCTCAGTATGCAAACATTCATGCCGTCTCTGAGATATGTTTGAAAGACTATAGGATAATGCTTTGTTTTCTGAAAGTAATTTAAATACAGAAGCCTAAAATAAATCCAATCAGGTATCACCTGAAACCTGTGGTCACAAATCCCTGTATTTATGGTGGTGCCAAGGCAAGCCCTGATAGGAATCCTAATGGGGTTTACCTATGTTACCACACCCAGTTACAGTGACAAACCATTTGAAGTGCAGAGGGGGCGGCAGGCGCACATTCACCTGCTGAAGATCCCAAAATAGGTGTGCCTCTAAGAGCCACTTTTACCTTACATGACTAATAACTTATACACTTCAACACACCTCCGGTTTGTCAAAACTCTCTTTGATCACTGTGAAACATAAAAGTTGTTCTTCTGACTCACTTTACAGCCATACAGTCATTTTAAGTCATACACATCCAGAGAACATATGACATTTCTAGAGTTACAGTAAAGTATCAGAAAGCCAAAGAAAAATAAAGGAAACTAATAGAAAGCTTTAAATAAACTTTTTTACTGGAGTAAAGTAAGGAGCTTACATCATGACTGGATGTACAATAAAGTCATGAGGCTGTCACGACAACACACACATACACACACACACAAATAACCATCTTAACAATAACAATCTTGCACTTCTAATTTCCTACATTAGCAGTTTTCTGTATTTTGTGACTAATCATTTAATTTTCCCTGCTTATTTATGCTTTTGAATTGTATTATGGAACCGTAAACTTTCTTCCAACAACTTTTAATCTAGAAAAGTTCAAAAAAGTGATTTTTATTAACATTTTAATTGCTTTAAAGTGATATATTGTCTGGTTGGTGGTGTATATTAAAGTACAAAAACCTTGTAATAAGCTACCATTTACCACCATTTTACAGATTTATTTCTTTATATATTATTTATTAAATGTTATTTCAGACTACTAAAAATTTCAATTAAAGCCACATTGTTAAACTGTAGAGTTAAATTTTCAACATCAAAAGTCGTCAAAGCAGAGATCGAGGCCCCATAATCAAATTTACAACAATAATTCAATGGAAAACATAGCATACAAAAACTGTTAATTTACACATATATTTTTACAGTGTATAAAGTTAGCATTGAATTGCAGTGAGTGAATGAATGAATTAATGAATGAATAAATAAATAAAATTATTCATTAATTTTTCATTCATTTATTCATTAACCCCAGAAATGCAAAGCAAATTTAGGCATACTGTTTAAATGAGACTCAACTTAGATATTATTAATTTCATTATTAAATGTATTTATTTATTCATCCATTCATTAGGCTTAACCATATAACCCCAGAAATGAAAAGCAAATTTGGAGAACAATATTTTAAATAATATTTATGGCGTTGTTAATTCAAGATGAGTGCAGTCTTGCTTCAGGACATGTTTCAGATTTTAAAGGAATAGCTAACCCTAAAATGAAAATCCTGTCATTATTTATTCTCCCTCGTGTGGTTTTAAACCTTTATGAGTTTCTTTCTTCTGTTGAACACAAAAGAAGATCATTTGAAGAATGCTGCTTACTGGCCTTATATTACTTTCATTGTAGAGAAAAAATAAAAAGTGGCATGGAAGTCAATGGGTCCCAGCAACCATTTATCTTCAAATCATCTTCTTTTGTGTTGAACAGAAGAAAGAAGCTCAAATCAGTTTTAAACAATAAAGTGGAAGGTGAGTAACTATGTTTCATAAATACATTTTTGGGTGAACTACCCTTTAATTCTGAAAAGAACAGATGAATGGCTTTTCTGCATTTGAGGACTTAAATGAAGTAAAGCATTATTGTTTAAATGTGTGATGTTAGCAGGATTTACATAGGATACAGAGAAGAAAAGTTAGGCTGGAAAGATGAGTGTTTTCACACTAATGAGGTCAATCCTATTAATATACCATCTGTGTGTTTACATTGACTGAGCCAGAATGATCAGTGCTGCTTTATCTCATCTCCCTCGCTCTTTCTCTGTTTCTCTACTGTTATCCAGAATCTGTTCATTTATCCACCTACAATGGAATAAAGAGCATCTGTGTAATACAAATTTAATAAGCTCATCCATTTATTCCATAAAGAAATAGTCATATTTTCAAATATTGTAGCATGTTTTGAAAAATGTATTAAATTCTAGTTATCCCGGTAATCATGTCACATGATCCTTTAGAAATCCTGTTCGATATGCATATTTTTTCATTTGTTTTCATTTGTTTCATTTTCATTTATTTGCAATAAATATTTTTAAATTCTTTTAATAAAATCATTCATTACATTTTTTTTTATATTACAGACACCAAACCTCTGTAGTGTACAGCTTATTGTAGTGTAGTGTACAAAAATTTTATTTATTGACTTAGTCCTATCACTTTAAAATAACAAACCTTGTACATCTCTCTATATTTAGGCTGAAACACTGCTTTGTTTATTTGTGTATGTAAGTATGTATGTTTGTACTTTCATTTTAGTTGTCTTTTATTTCTTTAATTTTATTTTCTAAAATAAATCTTCATTGTGCTTAACAAGTTTACAATGATAATAAAGTAATAAATAACAATAAAAATTAAATTTTAATGATTAATGCAGGAATTATAATGCTTTGTTTAATTATTTCATCTTCATTTACAAGTAGCAGGGTATTTACAGCTACTATGTATTTCTGTCCATTCACATCCCGTCTCTTTGTGCCCCTGGTGGCATTGTCACAAACTGCTGTTACACGCAAAAATGCGTTATTAATCCCTGATTAAGGCTGATTTATACTTCTGCGTCAAACACCGGCGTATGCTACGGCGCTGACGCATAGCCCTTCGCCGTGGCCGTCGCCGTCACTGACGTGCACCTCTCAAAAAATGTAACTACGCGTCGCAACGACGCGTAGCGTAAGCTCTGTGATTGGTCGACTTGGTAGCGCTGACGAGTCTGGGCGGGACCGAGAGCCGCGCGAATGGCGCGAGCGATTGTTTACAAGTGTGGAGTCCCGTGAAGGAGCTCCGGATGGAAAGTTTTGTTTTGTGTTTACCACATAGTTAAAGTTGCTGCACGTTCGCCGGTTCCTGCCTCAAAATGAGCGAGTTTGAGCCACTTGTACATCCCAGAAGTGTTCAGGAAAAGCTAAAAACCAGAGAAGAAACTCGTCACAGAGGAACATTTACACCTCACTGCCAACTAGCGTTTCGGAAGTGTTAATACAGACCGACAGAGACAGCGCACAGAAGTATAAATGCACAGCCACGCGCGTTGCATGAGCCGTGAGTTACGCCGGTCACTTGACGCAGAAGTATAAATCAGGCTTTAGAGCCGCGGCGACGACATACACAGCGGCAGTGGTCCTTTTAAAGTGTCACCCACTGTATGTCATTTTTATCATTAGGTAAATTTAAATGTAATCTTTTCATTCACTACAGTGTTTTACTTTTCACAAAATGATCATTTACATTGTGATAAAATATAACTTTTAAAAAAAAAACTCATGTACAGTCTGCAAAAGACAATCTGTTATCTATACTCGCCGGCCACTTTATTAAGTACACTTACTAATATTTGGTTAGACCCCTTTTTGCCTTCAGAATGGCGTTAATCCTTTGTGGCTTAAATTCAACAAGGTACTGGAAATATTCCTCAGGGATTTTGGTCCATATTGACATGATAGCATCAACAAGGCATTTGCGCCTACAGAACGGCCACTCACTTTATATTTTCTCTTTTTCAGACTATTTTTTGTAAACCCTAGAGATAGTTGCGCGTGAAAATTATAGTAGATCAGCAGTTTCTAACATACTCAGACCATCCCGTCTGGCACTAACAATCATGCCACGTTCAAAGTCACTTAAATCAACTTTCTCCCCTATTCTGATGCTCAGTTTGTACTGCAGCAGATCGTCTTGACCTTGTCTAAAATCCTTAATTCATTAAGTTGCTGCCATGTGATTGGCTGATAAAAAAAATTTGTGTTAACGAGCAGTTGGACAGGTGTACCTAATAAAGTGGCCAGTAAGTGTATACTCTAAATGTAGGTTATAATTTGTCTAGAAATGCTGATTTTCCGAAAACAAAATGCCTGAAATAAATAGACTGACGAAAGAAACAGATCTGGTTTGAAGAGAACCTAAAATATCTTTCGATTTGAATTCTCTTTCTCCTCTCTCATTAGTGGTACCTATGTCATTGGTTGTGTTCAAAACAGTGTCTAATTACTGCACTTCAATCCTCTTAAGTGCCCTGTGCTATTTCTGCATTGGAGCACAGAGTTGTCCAATGTATCTTGACTTAATAAAGCTTCTTTGTGCCCTCCCCGTCCACGCTCAAAAAGCATGAAGGACAAGCTAATAGTGATAGTGACCACGTAACAGCTCGCAGAAAGAGACACACTCGGACGACACTAAAAGGTGAGCAGGCAACTTTTATTTACTTCTGAATGCTAGGATACATCTTACTTATTTTTATTGTATTGTTTTACAGCTTAAAGTGAGTCACTGTGTTATTTAACTACAGCCTGTGTAATCAAAGGCCTCAATATGCTTTTATGAAATGTGGTTTTACAGCCAAATTGACTGCACGACAGAACTTAATAAGACAAAAATCAACCTGAATTGCACTTTAAACAGAATTTCTGTTTATTATTCTGTGTGTTCATGTAGATCAAGCCTTGGAGCTGGGTGTTTTTAAGTGGTTGGGCTCAAACGCTGTAATGTACTGTAGTAGACAGTGATTGTGCTGTCTAAAGTATATTATCTCTGAAAAATATGCAAACATTCATGATTCAGCAGGATTTAAGATTAAGGTCAGACTGAATAAAAACGTCCCGGGAAAGGCTTTGATAAAATAGCAAGCTATAAAAAGAGGAGCAAATTTGCAGAATTATTCTGAGGAACTGAATCTATTTATGTTTCTGTATAAGTGTGTGGTTATAAAAAAATACTTGCAGTATGTACAAACTTATTATATACTTATGTAACACCATTTTCCAAGACACTAACTAACTAAAAACTAACTAAAATGCCATTTTTAACACAGAATCTAGAGTAATCTGTGTTCACATCAAAGCACCCCCCAAAGCCGTCACAAGACTGTAACTGTTGCCATCTGAGCCCATGCATTGCATCATAGCTCTAATCTCAATTAGCGATTGGTGATTTACTGAGAGTAGTGAAAGGTACAGGAGCTGGAGGTCAGAGGGTAGCCATGCGGAAACCAGGGCTCTGAGCTCCAGTATTAAGCTAATCTGCCGCGCTGATGTCCATGTGTTTGTGCATGAGCCTTCTAGTCTTAAGGCAAACTTATTAGCCCTCCTTTAAATTTTGTATTTAAATGTTACGTTTAACAGAGCAAGGATATTTTTGGAAAAGTATTTCCCATTTTATTTTTCTTCTGGAGAAAGTCTTATTTCTTTTAGTTTGGCTGAAATAAAAAATATATATAAATAAAATGTAAAAACTGCTATGGTCAATATTATTAGCCTCCCTAATATATGCAGTATGTTTTTATTGGCTACAGAACAAACCCCTGTTGTCAAATGACTTGCTTAATTAAGTGAACCTGCCTAATTAACCTAAATATTTGTTGTAATCCTTTAAATAGCTGTATTAGCTAAATGCTAATAACCAATATATGTCTTGCAAAATAATCAATAAAACATTATGTGGTGTGATCATGGCAGAGACAAAAAATATGTTGAAATGTGTTGAAATATTTTCTTTGTGTTAAATATCCCTTGGGAAATATTTGAAAAATAATAAAAGTTTCAGAAGAAGGCTAATACTTTTGTCCTTAACTATATATATATATATATATAAAAAAACATCAGTTTAAAGTTGGACCTCCGCACAATTAAATATGATCTTTATTTTTAACCGCAGTATTGACATGAAAGTGTTATATAACTGTTACGCATTAAAATGCTAAACAAGTATGATATGTATGAACTGGTTTGGTGTTTGGGTTGAAATCCTGCATTTTGCTGCATATTATTAGTTGAGGACTGTTAGATTGCCGTTCCGTGACATCACGTTGGTGATGTCCAGTCGTGCAAACAAATTGGATCAAGGAGTAATCTAATCTTCTTATTCCTAATCAAGATAATATCTTCCAAGAAAGAGTGATCAGGTTCAGCGACAGAGAGAGGCTGTCCACAGGCCAACATTTCAATTACATTTTGATGCTGAACCTAGAGTTAAACGAAGATTAAATGCATCTTGGGTGCTTGAAAAGTGCTATGCATTTTGTTTTAGTATGTTCAGAGATGTACAGTATTTAACATTTATTACTTTTGCTAAAACCTTTCAGGGAATTTGATTTATTTTGAAAAACACTTAATTAAGGTTTGAACTTTTCCCACAGATAATCAAAAGATAATAATGTCTGACAGAATCGTTGACGAGGATCCAGTGACAGTAACTCACACAGGTCAGCGGGGCTCTTGTTGTTTTTGAGAATGTACCATAGGGTAAAATATTAAAAGAAAAACTCAATAAATTTTACTTTAATTTTATAAATAGAATACTTAGATTTTATTTAAACCATTTAAAGTTTGTCATTTCTGTTAATCATTTGAAGTTTACTTTTGCAAAACTCAGTTTACATACATTTAACTCGCTCTGTAAATTCTACTCCAATAATGTAGAGTTGAATTGATTTTTAAAATGTATGCTGAATAAACATAGAAGTAAGCAATGCTGTAGATTTTGTTACACTCCAAACTGACATTGCTTCTTGTTGTTTTATAAATCTTGGATTTTCTACTTAAACTGTTGCATTCTTACTAAAAACTATGAACTTTTTTATTTATAGTGATGAAAATAATTCATAGCTGAACTGATTATTGTTGTTTTTGTATTGAGAGAATCTAGTAATCAGGTTATTCATTCATTTTATTTTCTTCTCCAACATTCTCAAGGGCCCAAGGGTGTCATCAATGACTGGCGTAAGTTTAAACTGGAGAGCATGGACCAGGAGGCTCTGCCACCCAATAAGAGGGAGCTGCTAAGACAGATGTCGTCCCCACAGAAACCCAAAGACTCCTGCGTGGGTGGACTGAATCGCAAGGTTGACTCACTTTTGAGCATCATTTCAAAATATAATTTATCCCTTACTTAAAAAGTACTATATTTTTCTGAATTTGTAAATTCAGAAAAAAAGGTTGTAAATAGCTAAATCGAGCACCGAATGTCCATCTGTATGATACTTAGGTCAAACAATAACTTTTTATTAACATTTTCTTAAAATTCCAAAATGGTCATGCTGTCAGCCATTTTGGCTCGTGTACTCTATATATAGCAAAGGGTCATTTACAGCAGTGGCTTGCCAGGGGACCACAAAGGGTTGCTAGGTTGTCCATGAGTTTTTTGATGTCAAGTTATTGTAGTAAGATATTAATGTATTATATTTCACCCATTTTACCCCAGTTTATTGTGAAACATGAAATAGTAATAAATCTGAAAAATTATTTTTGATATTGGTTAGTCAGAACCTGTAGATGACAAAATGTTTCCTAAGTGTGCTTATTGCTAAGTGTGCTTCACCAAAGTCCCTTTAAGGTAGTTCATTTTACTCGATAGACACCTTTGAAGCCACTCTCGAGCAGTATGCTCGGGCAGTCTGTCTGAACAACCGCCTCGTTGTTTTCTAAACATTCGAATCAAATGAAATTGGCAGTTTTTCAGGTTGCTTGAGCTAATCCGCATGCACACTCGAAACAAACAAGATCACGACACAAACCTCATTTATGACAGTGTTAAATTATCATCTTCTGGATAATGCCTCGTCCGATCACGCTGCTCTTCTGAAGTAATTTACAACTTGGTCCTGATGGCAAGTCTTCTCCAGAAAAACAGCGACTCTTTGTTCTTGTAGTTTCTGTACCATGTAGTGTAAGTTTGACAGGAGGGACTGTACCTTGCGTTCCTTTCGTACAGATTATAAAATCAAAAATCTTTTGTCTTCAAGTGCACTTGGTTCATTTAAAAGTACAAATTTATTTGTATATATTCAATATGTCTGTGAAGTAAGTATTCTCTGAGATTTCAGTGTGTTTATTGACCACAATACCTGTCGTAAAACCACACGTCTGGTCCGAGTAACTCTTCCAGAGAAGCATTAGTCTATAGCAATCGATGATTGGCTCTTGTACGTGTAGGCGGGGCTTCATTCACCATATTGACGTTACACTTTTCCCCATTCAAAACTAGATGAGTGTCTTGTGTGTTCTATAGTTTCTGCCTTCTCCATGTGCACCAAACCCTTTCTTATAAGAAATATTTTCTTGGAAAATATTGTGCAATTCTAAATGTGCTCCACACAGGTGAGTGTGCTTAACAAACCACCTGCAAGACATGTTTCCCTTCCTTTAAAGATAACACATAAAAGTTATTAAGACTTGTAATATTCATGCACTGCTACTATCTGATGCTTTTACGTTCTTGTTTTTATCTCCACTTGCAAGTCGCGTTGGATAAAAGCATCTGCTGAATGAGTTCATGTCAACTGTAAATAAAGTGGTTTATTAAATTTATCAACAAATTTTCATTTTGGGGTGAGATTGTTCAAAATCTTTAGGTTCTGGGTGTAGTTTGTTTGTTTGTATTTTAAATAAACCACTACTGAATGCATCAAATACCAAAAAGCTTGACTTTAATCATTGATCTTCTTAACTAAAAGCTGTGAATTTCTCTCCTTCTCAGATGAGCGCTCAGGAATATGAACTGATAAAGGAAGAAGACGAGAAAAGCCTGCGCAAGTACCGTAAGCAGTGCATGCAAGAGATGCACGAGCGCCTGAGCTTCGGGCCCAAATTCGAGGGCGTTTATGACCTTGACAGTGGCGAGGCCTTTCTGGAGGTCATTGAGAAGGAGCACCGGCTCACAGTGGTGGTGGTGCACATCTATAAAGATGGAGTGCCGGGCTGCGAGGCTCTTAACAGTTCATTGGATTGCTTGGCCACCGAATATGCCAGCGTTAAATTCTGCCGCATCTGCGCATGCGATACTGGAGCCGGCGATCGTTTCTGCGATGATGTGCTGCCTGCCTTGTTAGTGTACAAGGCTGGAGAGCTGCTGGGGAACTTCCTGGCTGTCACGCAGCATTTCAGCGAGGAGTTTTTTGCTACCGATGTCGAGGCCTTCCTCAATGCGTATGGACTGCTGCCAGAGAAGGAGTGTGGCCCTGGAGCTGAGGAGGATGAAGCTGATGTGGAGTGATGAAAGACAGCATGGTGAAAGAATGAATGAGAAGAATGCGTTCGAGCATCTGACGAGAATAAGTTTCATTATTCTTCCAGCTACGATGAAATGAATTGGAGCGTGCACGTATGGCTTAACAAGATCTCTTTAGCATGCTAGAGAAAACTACTGGAAAGCAACATGGAATGCAATCAAGTCAAGTCGTCTTTGTTTCTAGAGCGCTTTTTACAATGTAGATCATGTCAAAGCAGGTTAACATAGATGAAGAAAAGAGAACGAAAAGCCATAACATTGTTTCAGATTGTGGAGCAATGCAGCATATCACCCAGCAAACAATTTTGTTTAATGGACGTCTAATAGACATCTAAACATAGACATCTTGGCTAAAACAAGGCTAAACGTGCAGCTGTCAGTGAAAAACTAATATACATTTGAGAATAGCCCAAAGCTAGACTAGTTGTCAAATAGATTAGACAGACTTTATATGTGTGGTCATTCATTTCTGTTTATTTGGCCTATTCTTAGACGTCTATTAGATTTTCACTGACAGCCCATGTTTAGCCTTGTTTTAGCCAAGATGTCCATTTAGACAACTCTATTAGACATCTTTTAAAATCAAAAAAAGGCTTGCTGGCCATGCAGGCAGGAGAGTATTGTAAAATGCTGGTGTAGTTAAATTAAAGCTGATTCAATTCAGTGTAATGCAAAGTCACTGCCGAAAGCCCCTGAAGAGCAGCTCTACCATAGACACAGAGGCAACAGTGGCAATGAACCAAAACTCAAGATGAATAATGAGACATCATGCCAAGTACAATGTGATCCTGGATTGATATCTATCTTAATCTTGGAACATCATTTTTGTTCGAAAATGTAATCCATACCTATTCACCACCCCTAAACCCAACCATAACTGTAAATGATTCCCAAAGTCAGAGGGGAATAATAGTTGGATAACTAAAATCCCTTAATTCTGATTTTCTGATTGGAATGTTGTTCCAGGATTAACATAGATGTTAATCCAGGTACATTTCCTACTTGGTGAAATCAGGTTGGCGGTTTTCACCAGGTGCATCTCACAAGGAACAATTTCATTGATGATTTTTAAAAGGAGGTGTGCCCCCAAACCCCATCATTGGGGGAAGGAAAACCATAAAATGTACAAATGATATCGTATAAATGAATATTAGTCATTAAATCAAAAAGTTACGAATTGCCATGAGATTGTGTTGGCTTTTTCATATAAACACAACTGGATGAATGTCAAATTAGATGAGAATGAATTAGTCTTATGTGGAGTACTTGTGTACATGTGACTGCACGTTGCAAACGATTATGCAAATTTTCAAATGGTTTCCAAACTGCGACTTGCTTCTTAAACTACGCATGCCCATTTTTTATTCTGCTCTGTATAGAAATAGTTTCAAGCTGTTTCTTGAGTAGGGTTTGATTGGTTTGCATGCACAAGCTGTCTTACTGTAAAAAGATTGTGATGTAAGCTGTGCTTTTAGACGTGCATAAATAAATGAAAATGGAAACATTAAACTTTTTTCCTGCCTGTAGATTTTTTTAAAACGAAAACCTCAAATGGATAACAGCTATTACCTATCATAGATATTTACAATAGATGTCTCCTATGCTATTGGTGTCTACTGGGAGGAATGTATCAATAGAGCCCCCATTTTAAGACAGGGTAGCGCTTCTTTAAAATGAATGCGAGACCAAGGTGCAGGGAAGGACTGGCCATCCAGAGCCAGAGATATATAAACATATATACATATATCTATGATCCTATGATTTTCCTGGTGGTCAGTATGCAAATATTTTTTTAAATTACGAAAATGATAAGTTTACATCACTTTTCTAAATTGATTGATAAGTGACCGCATGGGCATTATCAACAGAGAGTGTGTGTGTTTGTGAGCATGGAAATGTATTATCTCCCTCCCTGTTAAATATGATTTAATTCATGTCCTGAAACACACCCCCTCTCCTGCTTTCACTTCTAATTCTAGCGGAGGGAGCGATTCGTTTGTGAATGAATCTCCGTTATGAATGACTCGTTCTCTTTGCTGACAATAATTCAAGTTTCTAGCATCCCAGCATCTTGTCAAATTTTCTTTACATTGCTGCTGAATTTATTCAACCAAACAAGCATTAGCCTAGTATTTAGTGCGAGTTGGTGCTCTTTTCCTTATGATCAGTGCAGTAAGTGAGTGACTGTTTTATCATCAGAAATGTTACTTGTTTAGCACAAAGTTTGTAACATATAAAAACACAAAAAATGAAATCTTACCTATTTGTGCTTTGTTTTCTTTATTTACTTGTTATTACACCCATACTCAACGCACACGTCCAGCATTTTCAGATTGGCTTTACTTTAACCTTGACTAGTGTGGTTGAATGGCTTTTGCCCTGGGAGCACTGTACAAATGTGGCGGCGCTATTGACGAATGCTTGTGTGCAATAGCTAGTGTATATATCTATTACCAGGGCCAGACGGAATCTGCAGACATTTTTTGCTATTTCTGCTGAGAGTTTTGGTAAAAATCTGCGAATTTCTGCTGAATTATTTTGGGAGTATCCAGCAGAGTATCATAACTATAACCTTAATAAATTAAATAAAAAGTAATAAATTACTGAATAAAAAGTAACTCAAGTAAATAAACAGAACTAATGATGGGCTAAAAATCTGCCGAAATCTGCGGAATTCTGCGGAAAATCTGCGGAATTCCGCGCACACAGCTTCCATGTGGGCTTAATGATTACCTATACACATGCTCCATTTACTCGCAAATTACATGTCGGTCCAAAGAACGCAAGAACAGATCAATCAAATGAGCAATAAAGTGAGATTCCAGGGAATTTGCTTCTTCTTTTAATGTGGTTTTAAAAACAAGACTGTGCTTGTTGAAACACAGTCTCTGCAACTGACTTCACTCTGACCTGCAGGTTCAAAAGTTCCTTTTTAGATTTAAATGAAAAAAAAAAATGTGTTATACGTTTGCACAATTTCCAGTAGCTGTCATATTTTGCTATCAGCTATTTTGACAGCATGTTCTAATTATGCATTTACGGTAATCTTCCTTTGAGATGAGTTACACATTAAGGTCAGTAACCTTGGAGCTGAACTCATATATTATGGAGAATTGAGCCAGCACAGATGTGCAGGATACTTTTTAAAATTTTCTGAAAGGTCTTTTTGGCTTTTATGAGCATTTTTGAATCCTATAAGTGGATTTGAATCTACACTGTAAAAAATGAGCCCAATTTCAACTGTAAAAAACTTTAAAAAAGCTACAGTAAAAAAAAAAATTCTGTAGCCTGTTTAACAGAACATTTCTTTTTTTATAATTATTTTTAGGGGTTTTTCACCTTTATTTTGACAGGACAGTAGAGAATCCAGAAAGGAAAGCATTTGGAGCAGAGAGGGGGGAATAATCGGCAAAGGACCTCGGGCCAGGAATCGAACTCAGGTTGTCGTGAGCACATTGGTGCTATATGTCAGCGCATAGTACCACTAGGCTACTGGTGCAGACAACAGCACCTTTCCTTAATATAAACCGTAAATAATCGTAAATTCACTTTCCAAATTCCCAGCATGACACTTGCCTGTTTTTTTTTCTTTTTTTTGTTGCCATTACCTTGGTTCTTTTAGTTTTTTTCTCATTGGATAAGCACATTAGAATTTTAGGTTACATCTACCATTGATAAAAAAGAAAAGTTTATTCCATTTCTTTAATTTTATATGTGTTACCATGATGGTGTTTGATAGTTAGAGGATGACCACCATCTATATATTAGTATGATACTTCTCTGCTTGTGTGAAAAGTTATAACTTTCTCAGCCACACCTGCGTATGGCTTTGTTTTTGTCAGTGTAACAAAGTTGTGTAATAGATGAATGTACTTCAAAACATTGGTGTATGACCAAAAAAATGACAAAATACAGTAACGTACCATTCCTAACGTATTTCTAATGGTTAAATTTCGGCAACCACCACTGCTGTTTGTTTACTTTAAATTTGACACATTTTTTCACTGTGAGATCTTATTTTAGTTATCAAAATAATTTGCCGTACACTTTAGCCTTTTCTTCTATATATCGACTGCCTGAACGGAAAGTTTTTTAAAAGCAGAGGTTTGTTTTTGTGTGTTTGAACAGTATGTTTGTGCGATAAGTGAAACGCTGACAATTAAAGTATACTTCACTATTTAGGATATAAGTCAGTTTTGATAACTGATAATATTTGGACTACGCATGGTGCAAAGGGTGCTGCAAGTTTTGCACAACAATATATGTGTTTGATTTTTACTTGGAGAAGAAGATCTAAAACGATTTTTAAAATTTAACAGCAGAACATCTTGTGAAATTTACATAAAGTGTTCATATATTTGGGCTTCATTTGGATGTATTGAATGTTGCATAAGCCAAAATTGCAAAAGGTGTTCCACATTACACGTTTTCACCTTACTCTACACCCACAGACATTTTTAAAGCCTTTGAAAAACAAGTCTGCAACCTTTAGTCAAAAAGGCATATTGTTCTGGCTACACAGTTAAGAAGACAAAAGGTTTTTGTTATTTATGAATAGATTTCAATGGAGGAGAGGTTTCACTATACATTAAATAAAATGTTTTATATGGAAACACCGGATCAATGTAGAAATCACCAGCTTATTGGCTAATCTTCGACGTTCATCATGGAAAGAACCTATATAAACATATATGTTTTAAGTTTTGATACAGGTTTCTAATATATGTGACATATATAAAACTGACCGTTTTCTATTTATATGTTTTAATAGCTTCTTTCCGTGTGGCTCTCACTTATTTGCCATTGTCAAATTCCATAACATGACCCTGTTTTATACATGTGACCCAATAACTTGCTGATGAAATATTTTAAATGACCTACATAATTTGCACAGACACTGCTGATAAAGACAGGCTATTTACTGTATGCTTAAATCCTATAATTTGACCTTGATTGTTACCTCACCCACAGTTCAGAACAAATTCAACAGCAATTGCATCAGCTTGTGAGGTCGTGAAGCAGTTTTTTCTGTCTCTTCCATATTTGAAAAAAAAAAGACATGGAAACTAATTTGAGACTAGCATATTTTCTCTTGAGGGCCAAGCCATGCAGACACACCTACTGAGGGCCTGCAGGGTTTGGTTGGTGATTTTGTGGTAACGTTTTTGTGTCTCACTCCGAGCTCTTGCTGTATATCGTGCGACGAGGTCGTCTGCATTTCACACGAACATGCCCTGACAACGTCTGCACCTGACACCACATTTGCCTCCATCCTCTCTGCATGCGTGAAGGAGTAGCCCAAACATCCCAGTCCTCCTGATTCCTGAGACATGTTGTCACGTGTTCTGGGCTTATTAAAAACCATAGAGATGAAGAAAAAAACCTGTGTTTTAAAACAGCAAATAATTATATGTGATATAACATAAATATACAACATAAAAATACAATAAAGTAAAAGAGTTAATCATTTTCTGAAAATAAAACCACGCACCATCTAACAGATATAAAATCAACATTTTTGTATTTTAGAGCATCCAGTGAGTAATCCACTTTTATTTTGACTGCAGTGCTTACAGACCTGAAACAAATATTTACTTCCGGACTGTGACTAGTTTTATCCTGTTTTCATAAGGGACATCAGAGAGAAATCGCCCACACAAAAGCTTTCTTTATGTCACTGATGTAACAACCGATCAAAAAGCCTGGAGATCTTTAGGCCTGTAACTCTGAAAGGATCTGAGTCATGTTTAATCGTAATATCAAAAGTTCTGTCATGCAAAGTAAATGCATGATTACAAAATCCATGCCTTATTATATATACATGTGTTCTAATATGCAGGTGGCACTGTGGCTAAGTGGTAGGCATGGTTGCCTCATGGTAAGAAAGTTGCAGGTTTGAGTCCCGATTTTGCATGTTTTCCCTGTGGTCGCATGGATTTCATACAGGTGGTTTCTCCCACAGTCCAAAGGCACGTAGTGTATAGGCGAATTGGATAAACAACTTTGCCTGTAATGTGTGAAAGTGTGTGAATAAATTAGTGTATGGGTGTTTCCCAGCACTGAGGGTTGTCCTCTCAGGGCTGGGTTGTGGGTGGAAGGGCATCCTTTGTGTAAAACATAAGCCACAGTTACTGGCGGGTCATTCCGCTGTTGATAAAGCGGAGAATAAGCTGAAAGAAAGTGAGTGAGGGTTTCAATCTGTTATAAACGGGCAACTATTTTAACCCCTTTTAAAGATTTAATATGTCTTTTGTGTCTCCAGAATGTGTCTGTAAAATTTCAGCTTAAAATACCCAACAGATAATTTATTATAGCCTCCCAAATTTGCACATTTTCTGAATAAATTGTAGCTGTTATTGTAGCCTATTGCTTTAAATCCAAATGAGCTGCTTCTCCCCAATGCTCCCACATGCGTGCTGGCTTTCATCATGCTTTACGTCAGATAAACCGCAGTCAGTGATAGAGACAGAATCAGATGAAGCTGAGTTTATTTTAAGTCTTTCTGAAAC